CTATCAGCATACTTGGTGTCATACGAAGCCAAAATAATTGAAGCTACTTTGATAAAGGTGTCGGCCACATATAATGAGGCCAAACTACTTTATATAATGGAATAAAAGGCCATATGAATGTGTCAGCCTCTTTATTGTATGAATGGCCATTGTAAAGACGTGGGCCAATTTCTTTTTGTTTGGTTTTATCTTAAAGATTCCTTCCACCACTATATAAGTAAAGGAAGTGTGTTTAGTTAGAGGCAGGTTTTAGAACCCCCTCACTCTCTATACCTCTCTCTTTGTAATATTTTCTCAATTTTCAAAGTTTGAATAAAATTTGCAATTTGGTTTCGAAGATATCGTCTCAAGGTACTATTCTCTTTATTATTTTGATTTTCTTTATGTTCATAAGTCCTATGATGGGCTAAACTGTTTGTGTTGAACCATAGCATACTAGATTACTATAAAATGACATTGTGTTTATTATGTAGACAGATTAAATAGTTAGACTAAGGTCAGCTATAGTTTAACCAGGCCGATTTATGAAAGGTCGCCGAAGAAATTCGTTGGATTACCCATGTGGAGGGCGAACCAGGGCGGACCCGGATAGTAGAGGCTTTCATACACTGTTTCCAAGTTAAAACTATGTTAGTAAAGGTTCCTAACAGTCTGACTGTGCGATCCGTTGTCATTGTGGTATCAGAGCCATGGACTTATAGTAATTATTGGTGTAATTTTTTCTTTTATTTTGTTATTATTATTGTTGTTATTACTACTACTATGGTTGTTATTGTTATTGCTTTTAAAGAAATACTACGTACTGAACTATTTCTATTATTTTTATTGTTATTACTATTGCTGTAGTTATTTTTATTGTTATTATAATATCCTATTTTTTGTTTTATTTACTATTTAAATATATTTTATAACATCCGAAAGTATAAATTTATGAAAAACTAAGAGTACATTTAGAACTCTCCGGACATGAATTTCTATTTTTAAGTTAATTTTTTTTAAAATTAAATTAAATTTAAAATTGTTAAGTGGCTTTTCAATAGCGTGCCACTTTGCTTAATCTCATTTTAAACTATTCTCCTTGATAAAGCTAACTAGGTAACTCGGCCGCGCTACGCGCGGTTATCAAATATTTTATTTATGATGTTTATTATCAAAAATTAAAGATCTGCAAAAACTAATGACCTATCGAGCTTGGAGGCATAACACCATCTTCATTCTTAAGCCATGAGCCTTGTCCACTATGTCGAGATAATAAATCAATATAAGAGTGTTATGCATGAATATAAATTTGTCTTATTAGCACGATATAAGATAATTTTTTTATTTTTAACTACTTGAAAATAAAGTAAAAGTTAAAATTTTAAATATAATACCCCTAATTTCATCGGGATGTGTCACAAATAATTGATCAAAATTATTATTTATTTTTTCTAATTATATATATAAATCATACACAATTATATAGGCCGACCCAATTATATACATATTATACATGTACATACCATTTCAAGCTTAAGCGGTTAATTGACCAACTATCTACATTACTTCGACTCATTGAGACATTTGCTCTATTAAAACTAAACACTGTTTTAAGTAATTTGTATCATGTTGGTACTTAGATATTTTGGATTTTATCACATTGTCTTATGAAACAAAGTTTAGCTACACATTATGATATGATTTTAACTTGTTGATAAAACAACATTATATGTACTAACCTTTTTGCATTACTTTGGACTAAATTTACTGGCGAACTTGTACAAAATAATGCCTGCAATCAGTTGTAGTGTGACACCACAAATAAAATATACATATTTTTTAAAGTTTAAATTACCTAAATTCATATCTTATTTTATCATAATCTCTAAAAATTCCTATCATTTAAAAAAAAATTCAAAAATCTTCTCCCGAATACATCACTCTCCTCTAGCTGATACATCCTTATCGCCCTCTCGGATACATCTCTCTCCTCTATGATCATCCGTCCCCTCTCAGATACATCTCTCCCACTTTCTATCCAGATGTCTTATCACCTTTCTGATACATCCATATCCCCTCTCGGATACATCTCTCCCCTATGTATCTGGCTGTCAGTTGATGTCTTCGAAAGTTCAGTGATATATCCGAAATTCATAAATTTTAAGAAATTTTGTAATTTGAAAAAGAGTAGAAAAATATGTAATTAACTCTTAAAATTATGAGATTTATGTAATTTATACTTTAAAAAAAAAATTGAATTATGGAATGGAAAAAGAAACTGAATGAATAGGAAATTTAATGAGAAAGAAGAAGATGCAGCATGTGCATATAAGTATTTGCAAATCCTCCTAAAAAATCAAACATATTGATTAAGCAAAATATTGAATTCATTGAAGACTGTTTGTTAATAATAAAACTCGAGAATTTCAATATAGTAAATTATCCTATTATAATAGTAATAAAATAAATTTATTCTTGCTTAAATTATTTTCATTCAATTCATACTCTTTTATTGAGGAATAAAGCTTGACCCAAAAAAAGGTACAAGAGTTTGAATTTAACCAAACAATTTTCAAACACTTATATGCAGAAAGAATGAAAATAATAAAATTAATCAATTTCATTATAATAAGATAGTTTCCCATTCAACATCCATATTCAATCCTTTTTGATAATTTAGCACATCTTAATAACTATAATACTCATAAAAAATATTTGCTTACATAAAATAATGGCAAAAAAATAATAAAGACCAAAGAGAATAAAAAAAGCAGAATAAACATTAATGATCATGAAGATTTAAAAAAAAAATTACACCATGTAACAAAATCCAGCAAGTGATATATATTTTTGTTGATTAGTGAACTCGTGAAGATGTTTGATGACGAAGGCAAAAACTCAAAATCAGCCCATTATTAAATCGACAACATAAATGATTATCAAGATTTTTTATTTGTAAAATTTAGATACCCAGAAGAGACAAGATGAAGAAACAAAAGTTTTCAATATGATAATTTATAGATATTATTGGTAAGAAGTTGAAGTGACAAAATAATATTTAAAAAATTAATGTGCCCATAAACTTTTAACTTATGATCACAGTTACTAATTTCTACCGTTAATAAGCTTTATTATTTAGTTTCTTCAAATTAATGTGTCTTTATAGGCACATAATAGAGGAGTTTCAGTAAATTGGGCTTTATTATTAATTGACTATGTTTAATGTTTTGTAAATATTTTTAAATAAAATTAAGTCTTTTAAAATTAGAAAAATGGCCAAAAAAATCACAAAAAAAAGAAGATAAATAGGATTGAAGCTCATAGAGAGCGCCACATCACCGTTTTCTCATTCAACTTTATTATGATATATATATAGATGTTTTGTAACGGTATATATAATAGTCATTACTTTTGTAACAACAAAATAAATGTAATAAAAGACTTAAAATAAAAAATCAGCAAGATAATGATAAATCTATGATTTATACTTAATTCTTAATGTTATATTAAGTTAGTAGAAATTTGTCAACAAATCACATTTTGAGCATTTTATATTTGTGCTCTAAAATAATTTGTATATGTTTTAATGAATTTTAAGAGGACATTGAATTATAGACATACACATGCTAAATAAATGTGCTTCAAACGTATAGGCAAAACAATAAAAATCATAAAAAAGACATTAACTCAATTCATCAATCATATTTAGTTCATATCACTAAAAATAAATTTCCAAAGGCGCAACTAAGAATTTGGGTTTAAAAAGAAAATAATTGATCATAAAAATATTGAAAACTTGATTGTATGTAGAAATACATGCGTATAGATATATCAAAGTGAGAAATTATACAGATTAAATTTGCTGAATATTTGAGATTAAAATAAATAATTTTTTTTTATTATCTTGCGGAATGAACTATAATGATTCTGGAGAGACATATGATTGTTGCAAGTGTATATTGCATATGTAGAATAGCAAGAATAGAAGGTTTGAGTTGTATAGTTGAATATGACAACATTAACAAAATAAATGAAAATGAAGCAACAATATTAAACAAGTATAATTATAATTATTTTTGAATCTTTTGAGAATATTTATAGGCAATGATGATTGTTGAAGATTGAACCAATTTATAACGTTAAATAAGATGGTAGTTTTAAAGGATAATGGTAAAGTTTATAACCGTAATGAAATGACATTTAAAAAAAAAATTAAAATTAAATTTTTTAATATTTAATTTGTATATAAAATTTGAAAATGTGAGAACTTTCCTTGTGCTGCCACCTAGGCGTTATTACCTCTCATCTTATATTATATATATAATTTTCATTTCAAATCATTTAAACGGTAATTAAAAAGTTAGAAAATTGTCTTTTTTCCGTTTTAGCTATTTAGTAAAAGTGTGAGTATCTTGAATGACCAAAGATAATTTTGAAATTTCTCATTCCATTTTTTCTAACATTTTACTTCTTGAATAGTCTATCAACAGTACACAACGTGATTCTGCCTTTTAAGTGACAGACGCCATCGTCATCATTTTAGGTTTTCTTCTTTTACGATAAAAAATCCATTATTAATTCCGTCATACAATTCAATGTTCAAAAAATTGAAATGACAACACAGGCTAAACATTCAATTTTTACCCATCAAAATTATCATTCCCTCCATTTCATATTAATTGAATTTTTAAGGTGTCTCACTCCCTTTAAGAAAAGTAGATTAAAACATAAATTGAACATAGTTTTTCATTTTTATCCTTATTAATTATTGTCAAATTTATTGAAGTCATCACATTGAAAATCTAAAAATCCAAATGAAAGGTAAAATTAAAAAAACACTCTAAAAGTAGTCTTGAAAATTGAATAATTAAATTAATTTGAAAAATAAAAAATGCCTCAAAAATTCAGTTAATATAGAATGGAGGGAGTAATTAATAAGGTTAAAATCTTTCTCATTTTCACGAGAATAGGAAAGGTTGCACTCCAAAACATAATTAAATTCAATAAATATAGTAATTTAAATTACATTCATTGTTATTCTCGAGGTCATCTCTTAATCCTCATTTTACACTCCTCTTAGATTTTGCTTCGGCCTGATGAGCTTTTCTGCTTCTCAAATTACTTCTATTTCGGCGAATTTGTTGTGCTTAATTCCAAAGAGTGAGTAATTTTCTCGTGTCCAAGCTAAACTGATGCTTAATTGGAAACCTAGAGACTGTAGGGGGTAGTAGTTTGGGTTAGTTGTTTAGTGGAAATTTGAGTTTGTGATTATATGGGGAAAGTTGGTATGGAGAAATTGTGTCCTTGTCAAGACAAAGACATATATCATGACCTTTGTAGTGCATTGGAAAGATGTGTTCATGTGGATGAAGATTATAAAAGCTTGTTGTCATTTATAGAGAAGGGTGGAGTTGCCTATGGTGGTGATAGGGATAACCCTAGACTTGCTTATTTTGATGTTGAAGCTGACCCGCTTTATATGAATTTCTTGGCTAACACTAAGCTAGATGGAACATCATATGTTTCTAAAGTTAATGATCAGAATGGGTTGACAGTGTTCATCAAGTATGAGAGAGATAGGGAGTTGGAGATTCATGGGGTTGAAAAGGGTCAGGATAATGTTAGGGAAAAATGCGAATTGGGGAGGAGTTCAAAAGCTCTAAAGACTAATGCGAGAAAGAATAGGATGGAAAATGGGATTTTAAGTAAGAAGCGAGGAAATGAGGATAGGGATTTAGACAATAGGAAGCAAAGAATTGATGTGGAAATTGTACCTGGTAAGGAGCAGAAGATGAATGGTGGGATTTTGAGTAAGAAGCGACAGAATGAGGATATGGATTTAGATAACAGGAAGCAGCGAATTGATGTGAACATTGGACCTGGTAAGGAGCAGCAGATGAAAGATGGCATTTTGAGTAAGAGGCAAGGAAACGAGGATAGGGATTTAGATAACAGGAATCATAGAATTGATGTGATGATTGTACATGGTAAGAAGCAGAAGATGAATGAAGGGATTTTGAGTAAGAAGCGACGAAACGAGGATAGGGATTTAGATAACTGGAAGCACATAATTGATGCGAACATTATACCTGGTAAGGAGCAGAAGATTCAGAATGATAGCAAATTCATGGATGTGGAAGTAAAAATTGAACCTCAAGAAGATTCTGATTGTAAGTTATTTGATTCTTGCAAAAAAAATTGTGTGAAGATATCATTGTCTCAAATCTTCATTTGGTAATAGTTGTTTTTTTATGAAGCTCTTAAGGAGGCAATATCCCAAAGTGAGGTAGAAATCCTTGAGAATGTAGGTGCAGAGGTACGCAGGGGCAGTAGCTCTAACCCCTTTGTACCCTCAGTGGAACATTGCCTGAATGTATGATTTCAATTCTTCTGCTACTTTCACTAGTTCTTTTGGTCCCTCCTTTATTTTATGTTACCTCTTAGTTTTGGTTCACCATGATAATTCTTGTAACCATTGGCTGCTAATTTTGTGTATCAAGCTGGATGCGACAATCATAGATTCTAGGTACAGGAAGGAGGTTTTGAACTTATTGATGACGCCCTACAATGAAGAGGAGTATAAGAAGCTCTGGAAAGACATTAAGATGCGATTACCATCTAGCTATACAAATGGATGTGGGAAATCCCTTCTATCACTCCATAAAGGTAGGTTAATAGCCTATGGTTTGTTTTCCAGCATCGTGGCATCTCTTTGCATTTTGAATGCTTTTCTTGTGTTTTGAATTGTTCTCAGGCCATACCTTGATTTCAAATTTATGTTGTCACTTTTAAGATGGTATCCAATTCCATAGGATTCCTGCTCATCATTTAGATAACTTAATAATAGTTCCTTGTCTTGTTCTTTCGCCAAAAAATGAACTGAAGTTGCTAGCAAATCTTTACTGAACTGATTGATAAAAAGTTTTGACTTTTTTTTTTCTCACTTTCATGTAGCTCGTAGTAGAGCATGTTCTCCTTTTGTTTTATCTACACTTTTATTGTTTTATTTCCACTAGGTGTGGAAGAGTGGAGTGTTTTTAGTCAATTAAAAAGGGAAAATTCAGATCTTTCTTCTTAAAAGTTCCCATCGATCATTGTTTCCCTTTTCAATTGACTCAACATTTTGTATGAACAAGGCATGACCAATGTAACTTTTGATACAATATAATGTTTACTCACAGTGAAGTGTCAGTGGAAAAAATAGTCATGTAAGGCAAGTGACCTCATCAAAAAGAAGAAGTCATTTAAGGCAAGTGGACAAGTTGTGACTCCAAGAAAGGGAACAAAGAAAATATTTCTAGGAAGGAATAACTGCTTTTGAAGCCTGAAAGCCTCACCGAGAAACAAAAGAGTTAAACTTGCCAAATATGCTGAAAGTCATCGACTCATCGATAATCAAAACAGTGTCTCATTCAAATCAATGTTGTCAAAGGCTCATTTAAGGTGCACTTAAAAGGCCTAAAGCACATAAAAGCTCATGGAGGGTGATTCTCCTCACCTAGCTGTGCTTCAGTGTAGGCAACCCATTATTTGCATCGATTACTTATTACACGGTACATCCACATCTTGGGTACCAATTCAGCATTACTAAATTGACAGCCTAGAACCAAGCTACATACTTCTTGATGCAGGGTGATTTCACAGTATAGAGATAGGAGATGAATTAAATTTAGATTGGATGTTTGGCTTGTAGGGGCATTTTGGGCTTTTGAATTATACTTGTTTTCAATGGCCTTTTAAGTGACTTTATTAAGTTTTCTAGTGCACTTTTGGAGTTATTGTATGTTATGGAAGAGGAAAATGCCCCTACAAGCCAAACACCCAATCCAAATTATAATTTTTCTCATATCTCTATATTGTGAAATCGGTTTAAGTGATAGCAAAGCGAAAGGAAATAAGAGTTGTACATACCTTATGAAGCTTTGTAAACAAAAATGTCATTCTTTTAAAAAGAGCAATCAATGATCTATCTTAAATATCCATCATACCAGAAATCTCATGAGTGCTCTAGAAATGTAGAAAAAAAGAAAAAGGTCTCCTGAAGTTGTGTTACATGAACTGGTTGTCCTTACATATGTGCTCTCATCATTCCTATAAAAAAAGATATATACTTTCACGATGTTTGATATGAAAGCATGTTTTGGAAACTCTAAAGTTGCTTGCTACTCTATGACCAGAAAAAGACAAAAATGATATTGTATTTAGGTATTGATTTTCTCCCTTTTTTAAGACATTAAAACTTAGCTATATAAACCCAAATAGCTTGAGGGAATAACAAAGCCTATTTCTCTCTTATTTTCTCTTCCGTTTCACATGGTGTCGGATCTTGGTTAAGGCCTCCGACATTGGAAGAGAAATTCTGGACAGGTTTTCCCCAACTATTTTTCGTGGTTGTCCGAACATATCTCTAATTTCGATGGTGTTGTGATGAAACCAACACCGCCACGAGACTCAGACCACCACCGTGAGCAAAATCCAATCAGCTCCGCCACCAGCGGCCAGTCCATGCGCTCCCACGTGTCGTTCAGGGCCTTCAGATTCTAGCTATTGTTGTCTCACTCACCAGCGCGTGAGCAATCTTTTGATCAGTTTGCCGGTGAGATTCTTTTTCCAGCAGGGTCACCCCTCAATTTTGAGTAGATCGACACTGGTTGCACTTAATTCCAACCCCGCCCCCCCCCCCCCCCCCCCCCCCAAGCTATTTTTCTTGGATGTCCAAACAGATCTTTAATTTCGGAAGTGTTGTGATCAAACGAACACCACCACGAGACTTGTACCACCACCGTGAGCAAAACCCAATCAGCTACGCTACCAACGGCCAGCCCATGCTCTCATGTGCCATTCAAAGCCGTTAGATTATAGCTGCTATTGTCTCATGCGCCAGCGTGTGAGCCATCTTTCGATCAGTTTGCCGAAGAGATTCTTTTTCCAACAGGGTCACCCCTCAATTCTGAGTAGATTGACTCTGGTGCCATGTGATTCCAACCTTTTTTCGGTGTGTTGTGTGGTGATTACAACTTCATTCCGTCTAGGATTTACAGATTCTGGCAACTGTTTGCTTCCAGATTCTTACGATTGCAGAATTTTCAGATTTAGGTAACATTTACATTAGGTCGTTTGGTTCAGATATTTTTACTTCTTAATTCCTAAGAGAGAGTTATTTCCTCAAGAGGTGTGCCCAAACTAAAAACATCATAGGAAACCTCGAGTAATAGTTTCAGTTAGTTGTTTAGTGGAAATTTGAGTTTTTGATTATATGAAGAAAGTTGGTAAGTAGGAATTGTGTCCTTGTCAAGATAGGGATAGGTATCATGAGTTTGGTAGCGCATTGGAAGGATGTGTTCATGTGGATGAAGATTTTAAAACCTTGTTGTTATTTATAGAGCAGGGTAGATTTGCCTATGGTGGTTATAGGCATAACCCTAGTTGTACTTATACTGATCTTGAAGCTGACCCGCTTTATATGAATTTCTTGACTAAGACTACATTAGATGGAACATCATATGTTTATAAAGTTAATGATCATAATGGTTGCCTCTGTTCATCAAGTATGAGCAAGATAGGGAGTTGGAGATTCATGGAGCTGAAAAGGATCAGGATAATGTTAGGGAGAAACACAAATTGGGGGAGAGTTCAAAAGGTCTGAAGGCTAATGCGAGGGAGAATAGGAGTGTCTCCATTGTTGAGAAGCAGAAGATAAAAGATGGGATTTTGAGCAAGAAGCGAGGAAACAAGGATAGGGAGTTGGAGATTCATGGAGTTGAAAATGGTCAGGACATTGTTAGGGCAAAATACGAATTGAGGAGTTCAAAAGCTCAATGCCAGAAAGAGTAGGATGGAAGATGGGATTTTAAGTAAGAAGCAAGGAAACGAGGATAGGGATTTAGATGATAGGAAGCACAGAGTTGATGTGAAGATTGTACCTGGTAAGGAGCAGAAGACGAAAGATAGGATTTTGAGTAAGAATCGAGGAAACAAGGACAGAGATTTAAATAACAGGAAGCAAAGAACTAATGTGGAGATTGTACCTGGTGTGGAGCAGAAGACTCAGAATGGTAGCAAATTCATGGATTCCAGAGTAAATATAGAACCTAAAGAACATTCGGATTGTAAGAATTATTTGATTCTTGCAAAGAACCTTGTGTATGATACCGTTGTCTTGAATCTTCATTTGGAAATAATTGTCAGTTGGTTTTTGAAGCTCTTGAGGAATGCATGGGCAGTAACTCTACCCCATTTGTACCTTCAGTTGAACATCGCCAGAATGTATGATTTAAATTCTTCTGCTACTTTCACTATTTCTTTTGGTCCCTCCTTTTTCCTTTATTTTATGTTATCTTTTAGTCCTGGTTCTCCATGATAATTCTTGTAACCATTGGCTACTAATTTTATGTATCAAGCTGGATGCGACAATCATAGATTTTGCATATAGGAAGGAGGTTCTGAATATATTGATGAGGCATTATAATGAAGAGGAGTATAAGAAGCTTTGGAAAGACATTAAGATGCAATTACCATCTAGCTCAACAAATGGACGCGGAAAATCCCTTCTATCACGCCATAAAGGTAGGTTAACCACCTACAATTTGTTTTCCAGAATCGTGACATCTCCTCGCATTTTGAATGCTTCTCTTGTGTTTTGAATTTTTTTCCGGCCATGCCTTAGTTTCAAATTTATGTAGTCACTTTTAAGATAGTATCCAATTCCATAGAATTCCTGCACTCTCATCTAGACAATTTAAGAATAGTTTCTTGCCTTGTTCTTTCACCAAAAATTGAAGTGAACTTGCTAGCAAATCTTTACCACTTTTACGATAGTATCCAATTCCAATTAATTCCTGCTCTCATTTTTATGTAGCTTAGTAGAGTATGTTCTCCTTTGTTTTTCTCTACTCTTTTATCTCCATCTCACTTTTATGATTTTACTTTCACTTTGTGTGGAAGAGTAGTTTGTGTTTTTAGTTAATTAATGTTGAGAATATCATTAACTAATTATAAAAGCTTGCACACTTTTATAATTAGTTAAAGTTAATGATATTCTCAACAATTAAAAAGAGGAAATATTCAGATCTTTCTTTTAAAAGTTTCCATAGATCAATGTATCCCTTTTTAGTTTGACTAAATTTTTTATATGAATGAGGCATGACCAATATATCTTTTGGTACAGTATAATATTTACTCACAAAGAGGTGCCAGTCAAATTATAGAGGGAAATTGTCCTCACTAAGTTGCATTTCAGTGTAGGCAACCAATTATTATGTTGTTTACATATTACATGTTACCTCCTCATCTTGGGTACATTAGCATTACTAAATTGACATCCTAGAACCAAGCCAGGTACTTATTGATGCAGGGTGATTTCATGGTATAGAGATAGGAAAAAACTATAATTTAAATTGAATGTCCAGAATTTTTCCCTCGAATTTGGTCAAAGTACCCAAAACCTGTTGACCAGATCGGGTATGGATACCACACCCACACTCACATCGTGTCAACACAGGTGCGGCACCGAAAGTGAAAGTGAAGAGTTTGAGCAATTTAGGTGAGAGGCAACCCACTCACTGAGAATCTATTCATAGGATGTTATTTCAATGGACACGTCGGTTCTACTCTGGAAGGATGTCTGGATAGGACAAGAGACCCTTATGCAAGCTTTACCTGGTCTGTTCTCCTTTTGTAGCAACCTTGATATCATTATAGTAGAAAGTTGGTCCAATGGGGTGGGATATTTCCTTTAGGAGGAATTTGAATGATTGGGAATAAGCTATGTTGCTCGGATTCGCCAAATGTAGTGTATTTTTGGAGAATCCGACATGGGTGCGGCATCAAAAGTGAAGAGTTCGCACAACTAAGGGAATAAGTAGAGTGGCAGAACTACTACAAGTGTTCAATGACTTCAAAGGGTTGATACAATCAAGTGAAGACACACTAAGGACGGAAGGTTCTCTGTAAACAAACTGTATACGAAGGAAGTGGGACTGCGTTAAAGACCTAGATTGACTATGCCAGCTTTGGTTCTCGGTAGAAAAACTGTATCACAACTCAGGTTTGGTCCCTGTTTTTGAAACTCCCAGATAGCAACTGGACTATGCCAGAACACACTGCTGACTTAATTGTTGGATCCGGAGAGGGAGAAGAAAAGTCAGAACCAGAAGCAAACGTCAGAACAAATGGTTGAGAATGATCTCAGCTTGCATTTGGTGGACAATATGGAAGGAGAGGAATGAAAGATGTTTTGAGAATAAAACAAATTCCAGCCAGAAGGTCAAAGAGAAATGTATTGTCTCCTTTTATTTTTGGTGTAAAGAGGAATGTATAGAAGAAGCAGAACAATTAGTAGATTTGCTAGGTTCACAATAATTAGCTTTGTGTTTTACTCTCTGTTAGCAAATTTTGGAGGTCTCCAGATATCCTTAACGTTAAGGAATACAACATTACCAATTTCAAAAAACAAAAAACGAACCGAAGGGGGAGGCGATTAGACAAGACTTGATATAGCTTTAACTTATTGAGGACATGACCATAGAAGAAGGTATGGAGGTGGAAGATTAGAGCGAAGGTTAGTAGGTAGCCAGATGTTGCCTCGCATTATGTGGGAGATATAGGGGGCTAGCCTCCTCTATCCTCTTCTCACTATTGGTAGTATTATTTAGTAATTGTGTAGTTTCTTATTCTTCTGTGGTACTATTTGTTGCTTCATTTGCTTTGTATCTTGTTTTTTGGTGGTTATATTTTCCTTGCAATCCTGCTTTGATAACATTTCTTTTACCGAGGTCTATCAGAAACAACCTCTCTACCCCACAAAGGTAGGAGTAAGATCTGCGTACATCCTTCCCTCCCTAAACTCCACTTGTGGGATTACATTGGGTACGTTGTTGTTGTTTTCCTTTTTTGGAGTCAGCTATACGTGTCCTAACTATTCACGCTTCTTATGGACCCAATTTTTTTCCAATATTCAATAGTTTGAGATTCGTTAACATTGGAGGTTCTCTTCATCTTTCGCTGATGTACAAATCTCTAAACAGATCAAAAAGACTCCTTGTAAACACTGGATTTGATGTAAGTACCAACATAACTAAACTTTAAACTTTATTCTCCACAAGTTGGTAGGATCTTCTACATCTGTTGTGTTTTATTTTAATGCTGAATTTGCATGGATCCTAAGGGATTATAGTTTTTTAAAGATAATTTCCTTTCATATGATTTTTTGAACCTACTTCATCTAAACACCTTTAATCTTCATGATTCCATACCTACCGACGGTTTCATTTGGAGGATGTCGGACGTATGATAAACCAGTTTAAGCGAAATGCTCTTCCCTTACTGGATGTGTGATGTTTGTACCATTTTTTTAATGTAATCATTTCTTGTCTGGTTTAATCTTTTATCACCGTACACCCATCTTAATAGATGCACTTCTGCCAGACTCATCTCGTGGAAATCTTGGACTTTAGAGGTCCAATATGTACTCTTATATAGCATCATTGGTCTTACAACTATTTAATAAAATTTGCTTCACTTTAATAGGTATCTTTCTATCACAAAATACTCCCATATCCCTTTGATCATCCTGTTTTCATTTCATTCATCAATGTTGCTGGTGTTGCATGAACCTGATCGACCCAAAAGGCATGGCCAAGTCCAAGATGGGCACGACCATCATAAATTAGGTATCCGGTGAACTTAGTAGTTTGCTTGGAATATTAAAGCAGTAAAAGTTTCATTCATGGATAGAGACATGGAAATGCGGAAGGCTTGTAGTCTTGCCTTTTCATCCTCGGGTAATTGAACTCCCTTGAGATAGGAACAATAAAGAGTAAAAGATGGCTTCACCTTAAAATCATTCTGTAATAAGTTAGTGTAAGAAGAGAACTGGAATTTTCTCACTTCTCAATTTGGCTGTCTATGCACCAGGAGAAGTGTTCCTTTCTGTTTGGACAGTTGCATAGGAACTATGCTGAGAACTTGAAAAACAAAGAAAAATTCAAATGAGCAGGTCTTTATGCGAAATAGGGTGGTGATCATATCAATCATATAAATAGATTGCAATGCATCTGGTGGAATATGTTTGGCGCATAATCAGCGGTTGTTAGACATTATTTGAGATTTGTTACTACAATGGATGTCTGGAGGAAGAGGAGGAAATTAAGACATGGGAAAGAGCTCATTGACGTTAATATGAACTATAAAAAAAGCACTCAAGGGAGTTGAGAACTCTTTTCCAACAGAGTGCAACTACCTCCTTATTTTCTGTATACTTTTGGAGAGCACGTGATATTTTAGGAAGTATTGATGCAGGATGCTATTTTAAGGGAATAATGTTTTTATGTAAGACTGTTGTATGTGGCAGAGTATTGGCCAGTTAAGAACTCATGTTCAAAAGATGATAGTGGTGGAGATGTTGAGGTGCATGTATGTAAGAATGAGGATCTCCCGGACAAGGTGGGAGTGAACTCTATGGTGGACAAGTTGAGGAAAGCAAGACTCAGATGGTTCGGGCATGTGAAGTGGAGGTACACAGAGGCCCCAATGAGTATGTGTGAGAGGTTGGCCGTAATGGGTTTTAGGGGAGGTAGGGGTAGGCCTTTTTGGAAGAGGTGATTAGACAAGATATGACTCAGCTCCAACTTTCCGAGTGCATGACCTTAGATAGGAGGTTATGGAGGTTGCGGATTAGGTTAGAAGGTTAGTAGGTAGTTGAACTTTGTCTCATTTCTGGACGGGATAGGCTTGGTGGTAGTTTGATGTATTGTACTTGTTTCCTGTTCATACCAGTAGTAGCATCTTTCTCGTAGCTGTCTGTCTTATGATTTTATTACTCCTTATTTACCGTGCTTCAATTATCAAATTAGTTGGTTATTGTTATCATTCCTATTTTTTGAATGATATGTATGCTTTCTCGATTATTTTTTATGTCCTCTTTATGTTTTCCTTTTAACTACTGTGATGTGTGTTACTTGAGCCGAGAATCTTTCGAGAACAACCTCTCTACCTCCATGAGGTAGGGGTAAGGTATGTATACATTGTACCCTCCCCAGACCCTGCTAATGGGACTACACTGAGCTTGTTGTTGTTGTCTTCTATGTGAAAATTTATCTTACTATGTTAATAAGTTATAATCCTCACTATGAAGATGGAAAATCTACTTGAGAAGGTAGGAAACAGGGATAGAGACACTTGTTTGTAAATCCTATTGATCGAGGAAGGCAATACAAATTTAATTAAGAGTTTATCCAGAATTAAGAGTTGTGGATGCAGCGGGATTGTACATAAGAGATGCATAATTAGAGTTTGCTTCTGTGTAATTCAGGTTGGATTTCATAGAATCTTAGAATAGTTTTAAACTTTTTTAAGCTGCTATGTTTAGCATTTGTGTTATGTTACAGGCCTTTCTATTTAATTGGGGTATTCTTTCAAGTTTTGTAGTCTTTGAACAACAAGAACAGGGTTCCCAATTAGCTTTCAATAGTTTGTGTTGCAGAAGAGAAAAAATTACCATTTGATTGCTTGTCTACTTGAATTTCTTGGGAATATCAAACCCTCTAGTTGCGACTATCCCTGCTAATGGGACTACACTGAGCTTCTTGTTGTTGTCTTCTATGTGAAAATTTATCTTACTATGTTAATAAGTTATATCTTACTGTGTTACTTGAGCTGAGAGTCTTACGAGAACAGCCTCTCTACCTCCATGAGGTAGGGGTAAGGTATGTATACATTGTACCCTCCCCAGACCCTGCTAATGGGACTACACTGAGCTTGTTGTTGTTGTCTTCTATGTGAAAATTTATCTTACTATGTTAATAAGTTATAATCCTCATTATGAAGATGGAAAATCTACTTGAGAAGGTAAGAAACAGGGATAGAGACACTTGTTTGTAAATCCTATTGAACGAGGAAGGCAATACAAATTTAATTAAGAGTTTATCCAGAATTAAGAGTTGTGGATGTAGCGGGATTGTACATAAGAGATGCATAATTAGGGTTTGCTTCTATGTAATTCAGGTTGGATTTCATAGAATCTTAGAATAGTTTTAAACTTTTTTAAGCTGCTATGTTTAGCATTTGTGTTATGTTACAGGCCTTTCTATTTAATTGGGGTATTCTTTCAAGTTTTGTAGTCTTTGAACAACAAGAACAGGGTTCCCAATTAGCTTTCAATAGTTTGTGTTGCAGAAGAGAAAAAATTACCATTTGATTGCTTGTCTACTTGAATTTCTTGGGAATATCAAACCCTCTAGTTGCGACTATCATATTGGCTATTGATGCTCTTATTTCTGCTATTTTCTGTACCAATTTGTATCCCAATCAGTGATGTGATCGCTATATCAACAACGATTTATTAATATATTTTTATTGTCAAAATTGCAGCTGTCAATCGGGCAATCAAAATGGCCAATCATGACAAAGATAAAAAATTGAACATCATGCGTGGATTTTTCTTTTGGTTAGAGGTGAAGGCTATTTCCCTACCATATATTGACTTCAATGAATGTTCCGTTCTTTTCTGTGTTTAACGTGCTCCTTTCAGTGACCATGCATGTGAATCTCCTCTCACTCATTCCATAATGAAAACCACAGTATGAAATACCCTTTTCCCACCAATCAGCTTGCTTATCTTCAGATTCCTTGAACCAATGGTTGCTGTTTTCCTATTACCAGTCATTTGCCTCTAAAGTATGAAAGTACTGCATTTTAACCTCAAAAAAACATGAAACATTACCTGGCTTGCTCAAATGTACTTTACTGACTCCAAGTTTTCAAGGATCAGCAAGGATGACAGATCTAAATTCTACGACCATGTATCGTATATTCAAAATTCTGATGTATGTATGAGGTTTGAGCCAATGGATTTTCAGTAGTTACAAGGATTTGACCAATGGAATGAGAACAAGGACATCAAGGGATAGTTACTGCCTTTCATCTCAAATAAAAGCATGAAATTTTTTCATTCACTATCATCTTTCTCATTATTGCTTGTTCTGCAGAAGCTAGTGGCTTATACTAAAAGTATATTTTGTTTCAATATCTCAGCATCTAACTCGGCAAGATGCGTTCCAGCCTTGGGAGGATGCAGAATGTCTCCAGACGATGCCTGGATCTTCCTAGCCCCAATGTCAATGTGTGCCATAAAAACAAGCAATGGAAGAAAACCAACTACAATTATTATGCCTTAGGGTCGGCTATATGAATACTCATTGTCCAGCTCAACTCATGTCGTATCATTGTACTGTTGGTAGAAGAAACCCAAAGATTAATATTTCAATTATTGGTCGATAACATTTTTGTTGTGCATGATCCTTTTGTGAAAAGTTTTCAAGACAGGCAAAGAAGGTGAACCTATCAGACGAAGTGTGTACTCTGTCTATGGAGCTCCCTTGTCCAGATGAAATATTGGAGTTAG